CCTTCCCTCCAGGACATCTTGACTAAAAATTTCCTCCGAAAGTACATTTTTTACGCGAAATCCAGGATCCAACCACGCCTGACCTCAGAAGCCGAGGATGCGATCGCCAATTATTATTCCACATTGCGGAGCAAGCAGGAACGCAGGACCGTGCCTATCACTCCCCGGACGCTGGAAACCCTCATCCGTCTCAGCACCGCCCATGCCAAGGTAGAGTTCAGATCCTTTTCTCTTGCCCTCTTTCCCTTCCTTCCTTCCTCCCTCCCTCCCGGCCTCCCTCCGCCCCCCGTCCATGCACACCATCCATCCTGAATCCTGTCGTCTGGACCGCTGTGCCTCTTGTCCTCCTTTCCTCCTGCAGGTGCGTCTGTCGAACGAGATCACTCGGGATGACTGTGAAAGGGCCATGGAGCTCCTGGCCTTCGCGCTCTACCACGAGGGGAACGAGCCGCCCGGCCGCCTCCCGCCCTCCGTCCGCCTCACGGAGGAGGAGGAAGAAGAAGGGGAGGGAGGGGGGGAGGAAGGGAAGGGGGGCAGCAATGGGAGGCCTCGGAGGAGAAGACGGGCGGACCGTGCATCCGGGATGTCGGAAGGGACGGACGAGGAGGAGGACGAGGAGGAGGGCGAGGACGAGGGCGCCTCCCCCCATAAGGGGGCGGGGAAGAAGCCTCGCAGCCGAGCACCCAAGGAAGGGCAAGCCCCGGGCAAGGAAGAGGAGGTGCGGGAAAGCTTTTTCTTGTCCCGGTTGAGCGCAGCGTTGCAGAGTCACGGGGATGGGCTGCCTCTGGCCCAATTTGTGGAGATATTGAACGAGGGGTTGGAGGGGAGGGAGGGCATGCCCGCCTTCTCGGAAAAGGAAGTTTTAGCCCGGGTGGTGGCGGAGGACGAGAATGGGAAGTGCTTCTGGGAAGACAATGCTCAAGTCATCTACACGTCGTAGGGCGGGTGACACGGTTGGGTGAGGAGGGGAGAAGGAGGACGTTTGCCACTGGCCATTCGCAGGAAAAGGAGAGGAGGGAAGCACGTGTCATTGAAGGGGTATTTTACAAAGTGAGGGGGGAATCCCCTTCCGCCCTTCAAAAAGGGTAAAGCAGGCAGTAAATGACACAAAAATATGTATAAGGCGTTGCACAATCCAGCAAGGAACTAAAGCACACAGCGACACTTGCAGTCATAGGTGGAGGGCCCCAGGTCCCGCACACATCGAGGCTCGACCGGGGAGAGAAGACGAGGAGCTACACAGGGGGAGAGCAGGGTAAAATAGCACATGCCAGCGTGCCGACAATGAAAGTATTCAGGCACTCGGGCTATCGTCAAGGGAGGGACGCCGAATGCACCTTAGTTCCTTCTTTGCCTGCTTTTCTTTCCGTTGCCGGTTCAGGAGGCTGCCTTGTCCCTCACTACCCCCACACGTGGATTGCTTCCAACACTGCTTCAGACTCTAAAAATGACAATCCCTCCATAATTTCCCACAAAACCTTCAAAAAGATGAAGCTTCGAGGAGAAAAACGCCAACTATTTTCCTCCTCCCCCGCATTCTCGACGGGAGGGTAGAGAGCGATAAGGGACGAAGCGATCGAGGGAGAGAAAGAACCAACCTCCTCATCCCAGCCGTTCCAGCACCACCGCCGAGGCCCCCCCTCCCCCGTTGCAAATAGAGGCGCACCCGATCCGTTTCCCTTCCTGCTTCAAAACGGTCAGCAAACTCCCCACGATCCTCGCCCCACTCATCCCTATGGGGTGGCCAAATCCTACGGCCCCCCCATTCACATTCAACCGGTCCTCGGGTATGCCCAGCAGCTTCGCGTTCGCCAGCGCCACCACCGCGAAGGCTTCGTTGATCTCGTGTACGTCCACGTCGGCAAGGGAGAGGCCGGCGCGTTGCAAAGCGACAGGCACCGCCAGGGAGGGGGCCGTGGTGAAATCCACCGGTTCCTGTTCCGCGTCCCCAAAGCCCAAGATTCGCGCCAGGGGGGTTTGTCCCATGGCCTTGGCACGTCCCGCGGACATAAGGACGAAGGCAGCGGCCCCGTCGTTGAGGGACGAGGCGTTACCCGCCGTCACCGTCCCTTCCCCTTTCAAAAACGCCGGCTTCAACGTCGGCAATTTCGCCGGATCCATCCCCGTGTACTGCTCGTCCGTCTCCACCACAACCTCCCCTTTCCTCCCCTTGATGGACACCGGCGTGATCTCCTCTTTGCAGAGGCCCTGCTCCACCGCCGCCTTGGTCCGTGCGTGGCTGAGCCGGGCGTAGGCGTCCTGGGCCTCCCGGGAGAGGTGGAAATCCTTCGCGCACTTTTCTGCACACATGCCCATGTGCTGGTTGTTGTACGGGTCCCAGAGACCGTCGAAAATGACGCCGTCCACCAGCTGGCCGTGACCCAGCCGATACCCGCTTCGGGCCTTGGGCAGGTAGTAAGGTATATTGCTCATGCTCTCCATCCCGCCCACGACCAGCACGTCGGCGTGGCCCAACAAAATGCTCTGCGCCCCCAGCGTCAAGGCCTTCATGCCCGAGGCGCACACCTTGTTGACGGTCGTGGCGATAGTCTGGACGGGTAGGCCGGCAGCCATGCTGGCTTGTCGGGCGGGGGCTTGGCCGATGCCCGCGCTCACCACGTTTCCAAGCAATACCTCCTCCACATCATTTTTCTGGATGCCTACCCTTGCTATGGCGGCTTTGATCGCCACGGCACCGAGTTGAGGGGCTGAGAGGGACGCTAAGGATCCGTTGAATTTTCCGATTGGGGTTCTCGCAAAAGAAACGAGGACAGGATCGCGGTCGGCAAGCGGTTTGTGTGCGCTTCCAAGAGGCCGATGAAAAATGCGAACCAAGGCGCGAGAGGCAAAGATGCGACTCTTGCCTCCGAGACTAGCGGCACGAGGATGCATGTCTGCAGCGCTTTGAACAACAGAGGGCCGAGAAACCGTGAGTGGGAACGTGAAGCGTCAGGGCAACAAGGAAAGGAAGAAAACGCTTGACTACGGGAAGAAGTACAGTGGCAGGACAAAACATGAATAGAAAGTGTCCAATGGAATCCTTGCCACAGACTCCGTCGACGATCGACCCACAACGATCATTCCCCCGTGCGTCCCATTTAGTTGGCCATGTGCTGACATGCAGCAGTCCATCGCCGGCAAGGCTTCAAGATGCTTGCGAGCGCAACCAGCAGCGAGTTTCCCCGCTACTAAAAACTAAAAACAACAAAACACACGCCCCGGTGTCTAGAAGGATGGTTGGGAAGTTATGAAGCCATTCATCGCACCATTTTATTTATCTCAGAGCGGTGACTGTCACCGCATGAGATGAATATATTGGATGCCTCCCCTTTTTTTTCCAGTGTCGCCTCGAGCTTTGTTCAAATAGAACCATCAACCCCCCTCACTGTGAAAGGCCGCTGTGCCATCCGACTTACACCACACACACGACATAACACCTACCCACACAGGGTTACGCCCACATTGTCATGGCCAGCCAGCGAGATCGGGGGAAGGCGCACATGGAGGAGGCGGACAAGGTACCCCTCCTTGCATGTAAAGCCAGCTTTCTTGTACTAAGACCCGACCAAACCATCAATCCTTTTTACGACGCACGCACACAGGCTCTCAAACGGTTTGCCCTTTTCAGCTCGAGCCAGAAATATGAAGACGCCTCGGAGGCATACACGAAAGCAGGAAACTGCTTTAAGGTCGCTAAGGCATGGGCGGAGGGTGGCGGGGCGTTCACGAAAGCTAGTGAATTGCACGTGAAGCTCGGTAGCACGTACGACGCTGCTAACGCAGCACAAGAAGCAGGTAAGATGGAGGAAAAATCACGGTAGATAGGGGAGAGGAAGTATTCCGTATTATTATTAGCTTTTCGTTGAATTTGGGGGTTAGTACTCAGCTCGAGGTATCCATTTGTTTTCCTCTCGCAGCCAACTGTTACAAGAACGTCAATCCAGAGGATGCAATTAGCTCGTTGCGGCAGGCAGCGGCTTTTTTGACGGAGCTGGGTAAATTCAAGCAGATAGGGAGGATTCATAAGGACATAGCCGAAATCTACGAGAAGGAAGGGAGCTATGACGAAGGTATGTTAGGACGGCTTGTAGGACCGCGGAGGGGAAAAGTTCTTGTCAAATGCCTTTCTTGACGCTCTTGATCGGCTCTCATCCGAGATAGAGCCCTGCCCTGCCTTCCTCCCTCCCCCTCCTCCCTCCTCCCCATACCCCTTCCCCTCAAATGCTTTCCTCTCCCTCCCCTCCATCTCAGCCGTGGAAAATTATGTGCAAGCCGCAGACTACTTCAGCAGCGAGAACAGCAAAAGCAGCGCCAATGACGCTTTGCAAAAGACTGCTTTCCTGCTTACTACCAGCCGAGGGTCTGCGGACCCGTCTGTGGAGAACTACGCGCGTGCCGCTAAAA